TCGAAAACCCGATGACATCCATTGGAACCTCACCTCCCCCACATTCAACGGAGAAAATTACCATGTATGGGCAATCAAAATGAGAGCCCATCTGAAAGCCTTAAGTCTATAGGATGTTATTATGGATGACAGTGATCCTCCTCCACTAGGGGACACTGCCACTCTAAACCAAATCAGAAGGCACGAGGAAGACAAGGCTAAGAAACTAAAGGCAATTGCTTGCCTTTTCTCGGCCGTCTCGGATAGGGTATTTTTAAGGATTATGAACTTCGAATCACCAAAGGCTGCTTGGGAGAAACTGAAGGAAGAGTTCGATGGGGGAGTCAGAAGCAGGAAGGTAAAAATCTTGAGACTGAAGAATGAGTTTGCATTACTCAGAATGAAGGAAAATGAATCAGTGAAAGACTATGCATCCAAACTCTCGGATGTGGTAAACAAAATGAGACTGCTTTGGGAGGATTTTCCGAAATCAAGGGTAGTAGAGAAGATTCTTATTAGTTTGCCCCCCAAATTCGAGTATAAAATCTCAACACTGGATGAGCTTGCCGACATTGAGTCTATCTCCTCGGCTGAGTTGATAAATAAGCTTCAATCCAGTGAGCAACGGGTAAATATGCATGTTCGACAACATACCGAGGGAGCTTTAATTTCAACTCAGATCAAATGTAGCTTTTCAATATAGAATCAAGTAAGAAAGAGTGAAGGGAATCAAACTGGAAATCAAAATTCCAGTAAACAAAAGAAATATTCTCAGTGCAGCATCTGTTCCTTGACAAATCATTTTGAAAATGAGTGCTGGTACAAGGGAAAGAAAACCGTTCGTTACAATTTCTGCAAAAGGCTTGGTCATAAGGAGAAATTCTGCAGGCAGAAGCAGAAGCAGGAAGGATCGCAGCCAAAGCAGGAACAACAGCAAGCCAATGTCACTGAGGTGTTATGTGAGCAACGTGACACAATTCTCGTTGCGTTAAGTAAGCTGCCAGTGAAGGATGATACTCTTTAGGTGGTGGACAGCAGGTGCACCTCCCACATGTGCAAGGATGATGCCTTGTTCGTGTCACTTGACAAAACAATCTCAGGCCAGGTCCGGCTTGGAAATGGTATGCTAGAAACCATCAAGGGCAAAGACAACATAGCCATTAAAACCAGGGAAGATAGGAAACTTATCACTGATGTGAATTTTGTTCCTATCCTCTCACAGAATCTTCTTAGTGTGAATAAGATGACTAATCGAGGTTACTCGGTTGGATTCAAGGATACTTGCTACAAGATATATGATCCTGAGGATAGATTGATCGCTTTCATCTAAAAGAATGATCAAGTCTACTCATTGAAGCTCATAGAAGTAGTCGAGAAGGCCAGTGTTGCCTCTGTAACAGAAGGTGAGATTTGGCACAGGCGCCTTGGGCATTTTCATTCGGCTGGGCTACAACAACTGCAGAAGGGAGGCCTAACCAAGGACTTCCCAAACATTGCAGTCACTGAGTCAGTATGTGGGGCATGTCAGATGGAAAAAATGGCTAGGAATTCCTTCCCTTCGCAAGCAGATTGGAGAGCAGAAGAGAGGCTAGCACTTATCCATTCTGACATTTGTGGTCCAATGACAGAAAACTCCATGAGTGGATGCAGGTATTTTGGCTTGTTCATAGATGATTTTTTCAGGATGATTTGGGTTTTTTTCCTACAGAATAAAGCTCAAATTTTTGGTGAGTTCAAGAAGTTTAAGGCT